GGCACGGCCGAGCCCAACCGCTTCGAGCTCACCCTCGTCACCGCGCCGTGTGTCGTGTTGTATCGTGTGCTGTGTGTCGTGTGCAGTGTGTCGTGTGTGGGAAGTAATGGTTGCTTTGGTGGCACAGGTATGCGTTCGTGGTGGACAAGGCGCATCGCAGGTTCCTGTTTCTGGGCGTCTACGCGTGCAGGCCCCACTGCGGCACGAACGCGTTCACGTACGACAACAATCGTCCGGGCGTCAAGGCACCCGACCGCCTGGTCGAGCCGTCGTGGGAGGCTCCCACCCCGACCAACATCCTCGCCGCAGTCAGGCGGCACTACGGCGGGTTCGTCATCGATCAGTACCATTAATTGAGCTTGATGGCCCAATGCCCAACATAGAATCAACAGCCCACCTCCAGCGCGCGCCAGAGAGATCACGGCAAAAGGATACGTACGGCCGTCATGAGGATGTGGTCCGCAGCAAAAAGCGAGCAAGGGGTAAAAAGGATGCGGCACGGTGGATTCCCGGGTGGTCGCCCACCCCAGTACTAACACCGCCTGGCGCAGCTTAACTTCGCTGTTCGGATGGGAAGCGGTGCTTTCTGCGCAGTATGGCCGTATCCAACAGCCAAGGCGTGGCACGCGGCGAGTGAACTCATCCACGCCCGCAGTCCCTTGTGTGCGGTGCCATTTCTATGTCACAGTGTAAGAAGAAATGGCGTATCATTTTTCAACAAATGCGAAGCCGGTGGAGTCATCAAGGTCGGCTGCCAGTGATATGGGGGCGCTCAGTCGGAGTTGCACCACCTCCCCAGGCAGCGCAAAGGGCCTGGACGGCGATGACGTCAAACAAAGAAGAGCTCAGAAGGGACACGACACGCACACACACGCACCGCGCACGCATACGCGCACGCACCGCACACGCACACACACGCACACGCGCAGAATGCGAACCTCTCGCAGTCGTGGATGTCGGTGATGCTGGAAAATGTCACCGGGTCAGACGCCGTTTGGTCGGACGTGGTGGTCATGACAAACGTTGAATCCTTGCGCAGAACGCCCAGAGCCACGAGCACCAAAACCGATTGGTCTGCGCAGGCACCAGTTGTGAAACGGACGAACATGCCATGTGTGTCGTGCGTGTCGTGCGTGTCGTGCGTGGCGTGTGGCGAGTGTCCTGTGTTTTCCCGTTTGTTTTGGAAGAGAATGGAGCACCATAAGGCCGGATGCGGCTGTTTAGAATCACCGCGCCACAAGGCCCTTGGCGGCGCGATTCTTGCGCCCGAGCCTCAGCCTGGAGCTGGGACCACGGAGGAAAGAGAGAGAGAAATGGGGGAGAGAAGGGTACATCACTCGACCACCTTCCACACACTCAGCGTCACGCATCTCTCTGGCGTTGTTACCTCCAGCGCCTCTGCGCTCCCGGGTCGCGGCAGTGGCAGCCGCTGGACGGCCTCCAGCAG